TTGGAAAACAGGATGGAGGTTCCTCAAAAGACTCCACATCCCACTTTTGTGCATTTATCCAAATGATCACAAACAAGTCCATACCAAAGCTACCAGCACAACTATGTTTATTGCAGTATTTACCATAGCTAAGATAGGGAACCAACCCACATGCCCCTCAGTAGATGAATGGATCAAGAAAATGTGGTATATACATACATACATACATATATATATATATATATATATATATATAGAATTCCATTATATATATAATACATATATACATAATAGAATTCTACCTCCATCAGAAAGAATGACAGTGCCCCATTTGTTAGGGAATGGAAAGACTTGGAAAAAATTATATTAAGTGTAATAAGCCAGGACCAAAGAAATATAGGTACCATGGTTTCCCTTATTTGCAATAACTAGTATATGTCTAGGACAAGCAGAAAAAGTCAAAAGCTGTGTACATATGATCATATAAGATAATGTTAAGTGAAATGAACCTCAAGATGGGGACTCAAATTTTTTTTTCTTTCTTGATAATGTTCTTAAAGTATTTATAATGTACTATGTGATTTTGTTTGTTTGTTTCTTTCTTTGGTATGTTCTTCCCTCACCGTATAACCCCTATTTTCACTGTATTTGATTCTGGTGGACTGCATCTTGTATATACATTTTTCTAATTTGGGAAGGGGAAAGAAAAAACAAAATGCTTAAATAAGGATACAGGTTGACCCATTGTAACAAAGAGAAGTACAAGACACTATGTTGAAAATGAACTTTACAACTTCTGGGTGGGGGGCAGGGAGAAGTAGTTTGTGAGGTGGGGAAGGGATGGTAGTAGAAAAACAAAGGAAGAAGTAACATTGCTCAATAAAAAAATGTACTCATTACCTTACTCATGTAACTGTAACCCCTCTGTACAGTATTTTTACAATAAAAGACATAAAAAAAGAACAAAGAAAAAGAAAAAAAAGAAATTATACTGTTGGTCTGGAAGGTGGCTCAGTGGTAGAGTGCATGCATTGCATGCATGAGGCTCTGGGTTCAATTCCTCAGCATTACAGAAGCAGGAAAAGACAGAAGTGGTGCTGTGGCTCAAGTGGTAGAGCACTAGCCTTGAGCTGAAGAGTTGAAGGACAGTACCCAGGCCCAGAATTCAGGCCCATGACTGACTATATGTGTGTGTGTGTGTGTGTGTGTGTGTGTGTGTGTGTGTGTGTGTGTGTGTGTGTGTGTGTATGTACATGCATATGTATATATATATATATATATATATATATATATATGCACAGTGGGAGAATATCTCATCCATGCCACTAGTCAATTATGCATCAACAACGCTGTGTTTTATGACTAAATGTGTCAAATTCTTATTAAGTTTTTACAGCTCCTGAGCTAGAATGGTTGCAAGTATAGTCTACCAGTTGCATAATTGAGCTCAGCCCTTCTGTATTGACGGATTGTCTCCCTACCAACTCTGGAGGGCACACATAAGAAATTGTTTCCCAGCAGAATCATACCACATGCTATAGACACGTAGAGATGAGCAGAACTAATTCATCAAATGTCTGTTTAAATGACAAGTAATGGAAAACACAAAAATCCACTGGTTCAGGTGAAAAAGCATGTTTGTGTAACTGAGAATAGTTTTGTTCTACCTAAGTTTGTGTGTGGTTCCAGTTCTATGATCCCAATGGATGCTTACACCCATAGGTGATAATATCAAACTCTAGCTGAACTGTGGCCTATTTTTCTCTATATGCTGTATATGATAAATTTGAAGATATAATGTAGTCATAGAGATTAACAAAAGAAACTCATAAAATCAGTGTCTGCATAAAGTATGAGTTGCTTGAATACAAATTCTGAGATAACCACACAGTCATTCCAGTAGCCAAGATGACTTCTGAGTAACAGGAGAGTAGCACATACAGTGTGGAGATAATGGACATGGATAGTTTATAGAGTGAGATGGCATGAAATAAACATAGCATATAATGTAATATCGTAGGCCAAAAGATACCTACAAAAATGTATGTCATTAAAAAACTACACATGATTGTCATTCTTGTATGCTAACATAAATATTGTTTTACTTTTGCTTGGTAAAATTCTATTGAGCTGTTTAAAGCCACCTCAAAAATTACCTTTTTCAGAATGACTTTTTCTCTTTCCTTCTCTTCTCTTTCCCAGCTCCCTTCTCTTTTCTAGCTCTCTCTCTGCTCTTTTCTAGCTCTTTCTCAGCTCTTTCCTTCTCTTCTCCTTCCCAGATCTCTTCTCTTTCCTAGCTCACTCTTTCCCAGCTGTCTCTCTTTCCCAGGCCTTTCCCCACTGCGTGGAGGGCCAAGATGGCCTGGTGCCAGCCAGAACGATGAATAAACCTACTCCTTACTTGAATACCATGTGTGTGGTGCTGTTCTTACTCGGCTACCTCTTTTTAAAAACCTAACATATAAAAAAAAAATAAACAGAATGACTTTTTCTTTGTGTACCATCAAGCCTTTTTCCTCTGATTTTGTGTATGTTCGATGTTAACTTTATAGAAACACTAAAAACAACTGAGTCATTAAGTAAAGTCAAGGATATATGTAGGTTTAAAATACCTTATAGAAGTTCACACACCTACTACCAGTAAATTAAAACCTAGTTCCCAGCTCTCCCAGAAAAGAGGGAAACATAATCAGCACTGGTCATCAAATCCTTAAGTCAACATGAAGCTAGATCAATTGCTTAGTAATACTGCACCATGAACTCAAAACATATTAGAGAGTAAATACAGAGAGGGGATCAATAGCATTCAGTAGAGTTTCCAAGGAACCCAATGTGCTACTGGTTTGAAAACCAGATGTGAGCTAGACCAGCTAACCTCAGACTGAGGTTTCCAGAGCAGCCATAGTAAAATCACCTGGGAACGTGTTATAAATGTGAGGTCTAGGGTCAAACTCCAGGGTGAACCCAAGATTTCTGTCTTAAAAAGCTCTCCTGGTAGTTTTTATGCACCCTGGAAACACTACAGCAATCATCAGCAGAGCAAACTAAGATAAACCTTGATTGGCTTATACCAACAATCTGTATTCTGGTCTTTACAGCAGACAAAGCAGGGCTTGGGAATAGAATATACCACAAATACTACTTTCTCTTTAGGTCACCATGACTTATACTGTACCTGTCTTGCTATTTTTTTTGACCAGAGTATCAGTGTTGTCTTTTATCTTACTGTAGTAGCATAAAACTGCAATCAAGATAAGCCATGAATTTTCCAGATGCTTTTACGCAAATAAGACTCATAGAAAAGATATAGAATAGTGTTTATGAACACAGACTCTTAACAATTTGTGAGATTTGGTCTTAACAATTCCAGATTTCAAGTTTATCAAAGGGTACATCATAGACAAGCTGTCTAACATTGTTGAGCCTAATCTTTGTTCATCTGTAGAACAGGGACAAAACTTCACAGGGAGGACATAATTTGATTTTGTGTGAAAGGCATCATATTAAGTCTATCACACAATAAACAATTAGTATTGTTTGCATTTCTAGGATTTCATTATAAAGAAAATACCACTGTTTATATAAAGAAAACACCACTGTTTATCAGTCCTCCCTGTCAGCTTTCTGTAGCTAAAGACAAAAACACTGAAAAACATATAACTACTCATATATAAGAAACTCCTTATACACTTGGTATTTTCTTTTTTTTTAATTGTGAAAATACCATACAGAGAGCTTACAATTATATGAGCAAGATAATGAGTACATTTCTTATCAAGCATTGTTGCCTCCTCCTTTGTTTCCCCTTCCCATCCCCCCTCTACCCCTGCCACCCCTCACACCCCCCTACTCCCTGCCGCTAAAGTTGTAAAGTTCCTTTTTTGACATAACGATTTGTACATCTCATTGTTGCAATGGGTCTACCTGTATCCATATTTAAACGATTTGTTTTTGCCCTTCCCCTTTCTACCAAAAGTTTTTAGTTAATTCATTAACTACTGTTAAATCAAATTCATAAAAATCATGGACTTGTGTTGAGAACTAGCACTTGTCCCAACAGATCAAACCACCATAGAATTTAATCACAGTTACTGAGCTTTGCTTGCAGGAGGCCCTGTAGATAATTAATCAATTAAACTATAACAAAATTGACTGGATGATGGATTAAGTTGAGATCAATATTTTATGCTCAATTTCAAATTTTCTATAAATGCTGGCAAATCACATTGGCAACTGGAGTTCTCAGAATCTTATTCAGCTCTAGAAGTGTTCTGATTACTGAATTCTTTTGTTGTTTGGTTTTTGTTTTGTTTTAACTTGGCCTGGTTTTTCTCTGCACAATAAACTTTTCTAGTTATCGTGGCTAAAAATTTTTCTTTTAACTACTAACTCAAATATTATTCTTCAAATTAGACAAACTAAAAACGAGGTATTAAAATTAATCAATTAATCTTTATTTTAATGACTTTTGCTAATAAATACTTCACCATATATATATACATACACACTTTTTTTTTGGCCAGTCCTGGGGCTTGAACTCTGGGCCTGGGAGTTGTCCCTGAGCTTCTTTTGCTCAAGGCTAGCACGCTACCACTTAAACCACAGCACCACTTCCAGCCTTTTTGAGTAATTTATTGGAGAGAAGAGGATGGTAAGGGGACACAAAGGAGGAAGCAACAATGCTTGATAAGAAATGTATTCATTACCTTGCTCATGTAATTGTAACCCCTCTGTACGGTAGTTTCACAATTTAAAAAAAAAAAGAAGTAAAATCTTAAAAAAAATGCATAATACAACTTAAAAGTAGGTATAACGAAGTTATTTATGTATTTGCATATATTTTATATAATACAAATATATACAATTAAATATAAAATACAAAAAAAAAGTCTCATGGACTTTGCTGCCCAGGCTGGCTTCAAACTGCGATCATCAGATCTCTGCTTCCTGAGTTGCTGGGATTATAGAGGCGAGCCATCAGTGACCGGCCACATCTAATATCTTTAAAAAAAAAAAAAGCAGTGCTCACTTCAGCAGCATATATATTAAAATTGCAATGATACAGAGAAGATTAGCATGACCCCTGAGCAAACATGACACACAAATTCGTGAAGTGTTGCATATTTTTTACTTACTATAGCTAAGATATGGAACCAACCCAGATGCCCCTCAGTAGATGAATGGATCAAGAAAATGTGGTACATATATATACAATGGAATTCTATGCCTCCATCATAAAGAGTGATATCACCACATTTGTTAGGAAATGGAAAGACTTGGGAAATTCTATATTAAGTGAAGTAAGCCAGGACCAAAGAAATATAGGTCCCATGGTTTCCCTTATTTGCAATAACTAGTATACGTCTAGGACAAGCAGAAGAGGTCAAAAGCAATGTACATATGACCATATAAGATGATGCTAAGTGAAATGAACTCCAAGATAGGGATAGTTTTACATTTCTTGCTGTTCTTTTTAATGTACTTTTACTGTACTATGTGATTTTTTTTTTGTTTCTTTGGTAAGTTCTTCCCCCATGGCATAACCCCTGTTTTCACTGTATTTGATCTCAGTGCCCTGCATCTTGTATATGCATTTTTCTAATTTGGGGAGGGGAAGGGAAAAAACAAAATGCTGAAATAAGGATTCAGGTTGACCCATTGTAACAATGAAATGTACAAGACACTATGATGAAAATGAACTTTACAACTTCGGGGGGTGGGGGCGGAGGAGGGAGGAGTTGGGGAGGGAAAGGATGGTAGGGGAAAAACAAAGGAGGAGGTGACAATGCTCCATAGGAAATGTGCTCATTAACTTACTCATGTAACTGTAACTCCTCAATACAGTACCTTTACAGTAAAAAATACATACCTAAAAAAATTAACCAAACTGATAGACCTTCCATTAGCCAATACAATTAGGATGCTTAATTGCTGGGAAGCAAATTTGTGTAATCATTCTACAAGATTTATAATTTTTTTTTACAAACACCATAAACATATCAACATTACAAATGCATCTTACTAAACATTATGGGTGGTCATGGAGGGAGATATAGATGCATTTGTACATGAAAAGCTAAGAGTTGGTGTTTTCATTAGGTTAAACATTGCTTTCCATTTTCCATCATTTGATGATTTTGTTGTTGATATTTCATATTTTAAAAAAAGTAAACTTTAAAAAAGAAGTCATTTTAATTCTCATCTGCCTCAATAATGGAAGCAAGATGACTATATATATATATATACATACATGCATACATACATACATACATACATATGCAGAGAGAGAGAGAGAGAGAGAGAAAGGTCCAAAAGATATATTAGAGAATATCATTTCTAAGTAGTAACTACTAAAAATATGAATATTTATATTTTGTTTAGAACTGCAGCTCTAAGAGGTAGATTGCAAGATTAATGTAAGTGGTACTTAAGAGAACAGGGCTGTGCCAGATAGGATTACTAAATGAAAAGTACCTTTGTGCCTAGTTTATGGCTTAATCTGAATATCATATAACTTTCAGAAATAATTTATAACCCTAATGTCAGAGATATGTGGATGACTGCATTAAAGTCATACCATCTTAAATAAATGTATTTTAATATGCAAAACACAAGCATTGCATCCCGGCAGAAAGCTTCATAACATAAAGAAAATGCACTGTCTTCCCTCAATACTATTTCTCTACCTCCCAGATAAACCCAAAACAAATGGAGGAGGAAATAGAGCTTGCCTCTCTGTTCTGTTCAACTCAGTGTATTTTCATGCTGAGCTTTATGTATAATGCACTGTTAAGTTATGTTCAATGTAATTTTAGTACCTCAAAATCCATAGAGAAGTTATAATTCCATTTAGTGAATCTCTTTTTTAAAGACAGGAATTTTAAAACCCCACTTTTATGATGGGTTGCCTTGGTGATTTGAAAAATTACATGAATAATGTTTATAATGAAGGTTAAAATGTCCAACTGGAGAGTAAAACTAAATCCAGCAGGTGTCCATTAAAATAAGATTATCTTAGAACTTTAAATGTAGATTTCAGTAAGAGATGGATTTAGCTAACAAGCAAGCCACTATATAATAGAAAATCATGGAAAGCATTTGAAAAGCTGTTATATTGTCCTCTAATTATGCTGTGAATTCTCTGGAGAGTGGCTCTTAATTCTAGTCCTGTACTGATGGGAATCTAGGGTAAGTGGTCTTAGATTAACGTCGTATTCGGAAGATGAGACTAACTACAAAGTATATCACTGATATAAGTGAGAAACCTGAACTAAAAAATAGATTTCTTTCTATTTTAATACCCAAGTCCTCCACTTACACATAAAACTCATTTGGCATCTTTCTTGATTAAAAACATAAAACTTACTTTTTAGCGTCCTGACTATAGCAAAAGTTAAAATTTTCCCTAGTCAAGAGTCTCTTCTGCTTTCATTTAGATACAAACACTCCAGGGTTTTATTCCTTAATATTATGGCATTACTTTGGGGGTTCTTCAGTGTTTTCTTTTTTAGGCATCACTCATCATAGTTTTTCCACACCATCTTTTGCAGTCATCAAATAAGGGTGCCTATCTCAGAAACAAAAGTTACATTCACTTCTTTCCCTACAGTAATAACTTTGATCTTCTTAAATTACCTTTAAATAGTTGTATGAAGGGGTTTCAATTCAGTATGTCAGTTTAGGAGTATAATAAATCTTGATAGCTATCACTCTATAATTTTGATCTTTCTGGTTGTATTATGATTTTCTTCTTGGCAATTTCCCATTGAAGGATGAGATGTCCCACAGGAGATGGAAGACCCATTCTCTTCCCATTGTGATGAATAAATCATAGTGTGCTGGCAATGGAATTCATGTTACAAAAAGAACAGGAAAGTCTTTGCTAGTGCCTCAGGAGGCAACCACTTATTCTCCATTTGGATAGAACTCAGTATCTACCTAAAAAAGTCCATTCCATATCAGATCATTCCCATTACTAGGATTAAAAATATATGTTCAAATTGTCATCACAGTGATCCAAACATATGATTCAACTTGGTGAATCTAGTCAAAATCAAGCACATTCCGCCTCTGTTCCATGGATAATTTTTCAGGATTTCCCTTTGGATTATTTTAGTCTTGAATTGTGCCTCAACTCTTTATGAAAACAGTTCACTCTCTGTTTCAAATTCTGGTTGTAACTTGTCTCCACCACCTTTCACTTCTATTTATGCTCTTCAGCATTACAGCAGCTGGAAAGCACCAACCTGCTTGTCCCAGAGTTTTCTAGCAGCAAGGGTCTGGCTTAAGTGACACAGCAAGTCAATGTCAGGACTTGACAAGTTTGTGTGTGTGTGTGTGTGTGTGTGTGTGTGTGTGTTATTGAGATCACAGTTTACTGCCTCCCTTTCAATTCTGATTTTCTGAGATTCATGGAAGCTTTCTTGACACTTGTTCTCCCTCTTCTAAAGGCTTTAAACACCCAAATTCCCTGTGTTGGAAACTTTTTCCTGACTAGAACTCCTAAAACTGCCGTTTCCTTGGCCAAATCATGACTAAGACAATTTTTTTTTGTCTTATATTGTTGGCTAGATTACGAATCACTGAACTACAAAGAATATGCGGTGTAACCAATTTTTTTTTATCAGCTACTTAATACTACCTATTCCTGCAAACCTGAGTTCAGTCAAATTCCTAAAGCTGTTTGCAGGTCATTTGTTTCTAAAGATCTTGCATTTTCGGGGTTTTTGATGCATCTCTAAAACTACATGCAAAATGTTAACAAGTTTCTTCTAAAATCTGGGAACACCAATATTGCCAACTTGATGTAAATTATAATTAGTTTATTGACTCACATTTATAAAAATAGCATTGCTTTGTCATCTTGAAATTTGAAATCTAGAGAGATATCTAAATTCTTCAGTTCGCAAAGATTTTGTTTCTATTTGTGGGAGGAAGGAAAAACTACTGAATAAAGTCCAACTAATTTCTTCCATCTAGATTTCTTTCTTTCTCAGTCTTTTCTATACACAGGTAACTAAACAATCATTCAAAGCATTTCTATTTATCTTGTAGATACTGATATCCTAATACAGGTTATACATATTAGTATAGTATTTAAAGCTCTGTGTAATTTGTTCTGATATATTCTTCCAGTATTACAATCTCAATGGAATAATTATTTCTACAAGACATAGTCCCTTAATAATTTGCATGCATTGTTTTGCAACTTACAAAAACTTAATTTGCATATAATAACTTAACACTTACAATAACTATATAAAATATGTACTCCCATATCATATTTTTGGATCAAGGAATGGAAGTACAAAGAATTTGGATCACCACTTAAATCTACACAGCTAATGGATGCTCTTTCTAGGAATTAAAAGTAGCATTATTTGATTCTGGAACATTTAGAACACGATAAACAATTGCTATCAAAGATACCAGATTCTAAACCTTAAAACTTGTAACTTACTTTATATGGAAAAGCCATGTGCAGAGATGATTAAATGAAAAAGGGGAAGACAAGGAAGTGATCCTAAGTTATCTGAGAGGACTCTATCTAATCATGCATGTGAGGATAAGAGAAAGGCAGAGGGAATTTACCATAAAGCAAGGAGTAAAAAGAAGAGATTAGAGCAATGTGGCTACCAATCCAGGAATGCCAGTAGCCAACAGAAGCTGGGAAAGGCAAGGAACAGAATATCTCCTAGAAATCTTGAAAGTGCACAGCCCTGTGAATACCTTGATTGTTGCTCCCTTATACTGACTTCATACATTTTATTCTCAGAATAGCATAAAATTCATTTGTATGGATAGAATTCACAATATGTTTGTGATTATTTTTGTGGCAAGTGATCAAATAAAAAGCAATCTACAGGAATGGCTCAGCTGGTAGAGCAATACAATATCAAGCACAAGGTAAGCCCTAAATTCAAACCCTAGTACTGAAAAATGGATATCTAATTGATCTATAAAATATCCAAAGAAGGCTTTGAAAGAGCAATCATTCTGATATGAAATGTCTAAAGGACGATACCTTTAAAAATGCTTTTGTTACATTATTTTGAGTTTACAGAAGCTTTCGTCCAACACCAGATATAGAATAATATACAAAGTTGGGTCATAGATGCACTTTGTATT